CGTACACTTCATCCCAGTGAAACTGTCGACCGGCGGTAGAGAACACGGACCAATATCTGCCGCTATGGGCCCATGACCCGCAGTGGGCTCGCTGCCCCATATGTTACCCTACATCATGATTTTATTAATTGCCACACAGAGCTTGGTCTGAAAGTACGTCAGTCGTGGAGGGTATAGATTTGGAATGTTGGCGTTAAGTCGTGGTCCTTCTTTGGAGTGTATTACATAAAAAAGTAAAACTCTGCATGCCGTGTCAAGTCTTTTAAACTGTCAGGTATTGCTTGACGGTCGCCTTCAGCGACGTAATGATCAATGGAGACGGTAGCTGGCATTGGTATTGCGCGGCGAGAGGTGAAATTCTGCGACCCCCGCAAGACCTCCTAAAGCGAAGGCGTCTGCCAAGGACGTGTTCACCAATCATGAACTCGGTCGCGTCTCATCCTGTCTCATGCAACCCGATGCCCCCAGTGGCTGCGGTTACTTCTCCTGACACTCTTGATCCTGTACCTGCTAATCCTGAACCTTCGACTCCTGTGCCTCGGACACACACTGGTCGTGTCGGCACGAGCGACTCTTCTTCTCGGGGGGAGTGTCAGGTATTGCTTGACGGTCGCCTTCAGCGACTAATTATCTATTATACGTCACCCTCAGTGACGCTTTAAAGGATCGTACGTCTTGTCATACGTAGCTTGCGATTCTACGCGGTGGACCGCGATAGCTCTTTAAAGCCCACGAGTTAGTTGTAGGAGAGACCTCCGAGCGTCCACAGCTAACTCCTACGCTCCGGCGCTCGATAAGCTTCTCTGTCGAGCAGGCCGATTCTTTCCCTCTCTGAGATTGTATCCTCATAGTGCCTATTGTAAAGTCTTTAGCAAGTAAACTGTTCTGTATTACTAGACTTTCACTCCTGTTATAGCCAATAAATAGAAGACCCTTGAACCTTCAGGTCTTAATCTGAAATTGACAATACAATTAATTAATTCCAATCCACGCTGAAAAGTGGGCTTGGACAAAACTGAATGATATTAATTAATTACCCCTCTGGATCTATAGCGTTAACTCTTTATTGCAGGGGTCATCCTCAATTTATTTCAAGGTTTCGATTGATGAACTAGCTCATTCACAGTCTGTTGTATGAATTGCTTCTTAGCTGGATTCCCTTCGGAGAAAATGAGATTCATTCATCTCCTTTAAGATGAATGAACTTCACTATCTTTCAATTGGTTAAACAATGAGAACTTAGATTCGAGCGCTAATATTTTCATATGCAGAGTGGTGCAATACTTTAATGATGCATTTAATTGATCAACTTCGGAGAGGCCTCGATCGCGCTGTGCTGTTGCCCTTGGCATGCAATTCCGTGAAATAAATCTTGCATGATCTTACCCTCTTCTATAGACAATTCCTTAGAATGCGAATTCCATGCAACATAACTGCGAGTTTTCGTGCAATTAAAATTGATATTTTAACGAAAGCTTGATTGCGAAGGCGATGTTCAAGCACATCAAGGTCCATGCTGGTGTTGACAACGTTCAACGAGCAGCTGATTATATCACATCTTTCATTGTAAAAAGTATCCATTTTATTCGCTCTATTTCTAAAATTATTGAGTAAAATTCACTTCATGATATTTAAACTATGAAGCGAATTCCAAGTTTAGAAAATACTAATTGCTTATATAGAAAATATACAAAATTTTATTTATTTTTCATCAGTTATTAATGGAATTTCCCAATTTATTAAGGGATAATTACATGACGGTCTGAGATCTGCAGGGCTTTCATAAGCGAAGCCATCATCCTGGATACGGAGTGTCATCAGGTTGCTGATGGAGTGCCATCATGGTGCTGATGGAGTGCCATCAGAGTGCTGATGGAGTGCCATCAGAAGTGCCATCAGGGTGCTGATGGAGTGCCATCAGGGTGCTGATGGATTGCCATCAGGGTGCTGATGGCACCATGCGGAGAATTTAATGCGCAAAGAAACTATTAAATATATATATGGTACAGGACAATATGCTGCCAATCTGGGTATCGCATTATTGGTATATTCTATGCGCATATTTAACACTAAACAATAAAACTTTTTATAATATAGATATAAATTTTCCATCCTACAGATAATCAAGAGGGACAGATTTTGTGCCTGCGCAGCTCAAGACAATGCCTGCGCTACTGCATGACGTCACCTATAAGAACATATGCAGGACATTAAGAACGCGAAACAGCTACTAATACTGAATAATATTGATGCTAAATTCTAATTTGAGGGCTGTTACCAACAAGCTTTTTCTTTCAGTTCGTATATTCAGAAATCTCAAAGCGTAAGATTTTCTGGTACGTTAGGCATTGAACAATACAATTCGTGTATCGATTTCACATTATTTTGGGAAAACAACTAAAAAGATCAAATGAATTTATAATCAACTAGGAATATCTAATTATGATAGATTCGATTAACATATCTGTTTCAAAATCATCAGTTAGACGTCCTTGATCTAATAATGAACTCTAGGTGCAATGAAAAGTACGGCAAAGCTATATGCGACGGCACCGAGTTGCGACATATCTATGCTTCTGTTGCTCCATCATGCTGATAGCTGAACGTACATCTTTTTCTATTGATAAATGTTCCCTTTAATAGAATTAATTTTTTTCAGAGCACTCCTGTATTTTTAAAGTTATATCTATTCGATGTAAATAAATTGTTGGTTCCAGAATTGCATATAATTATTCGTGACAGATAATCAATCTCATTTTGGCAAATGGTACGAGTTTTAGTTGTGCCTCAGTTTGATATTTCATACAGAATTTGATGTTAAAATTTATTACGTGGTGAATGCGATACCCATCACAAGAAAAAATATCTTGACTTTAACACATTTTTTTGGAAAACCTCGGTTTTCAATACTTGGAACGTATGAATTTCCTGGAAAAATATAAGCTTGTGATATAATAATGCTATAAATATGATCGTAAATTATAATAAACCCTAGACTTCTTTGTTTTGATGATGCATGTTAGCGTGTGAATTCTTAAGTCTAACCACACGTTCCAATCAATCTGAATTTTGAGCTCGGATGAAATCGGCATTTTATTCATCAAGTTGGTCCTACGTTATAATCAACACTCGACATATGGACTCGGATGATATGGGCATATATGAGTCATCAATTCTGGTCATTCGTTATAATCAACACTCAACTTTTGAGCTCGGATGATATGGGCATCTATGAATCATCAAGTCTGGTCATATACTTTATAATCAACACTCGACTTATGGACTCGGATGAAATGAGAAATCGATTCTTCATTTCTGACCACACGTTACTATCAACACTAGATCTCTTCTAGTTCTAGCATCCATCAAGTGTACTGACAGCATTGAATTTTATCAAACTTTCGATAGTAGCAATATGTATGTAGGGATTTAATTATTTTTGCAGAATGAATGAGATAACAGAATAATTAGGCAATGAGGACTATTTATTCTGAAGCCGTTAATTAATGCCACTAGATGTTATTGCACCTCCCAAATCCACTTTATTGCGTAAAAACATGTTTCTTTGAGGAAAATTGCACAATTCAATTTCGCATTGGTTCTAAAACTTGGGTACAAGTTACTCTTTAGTTGTGGTGATTCTACTAATTTTTTCAAGGGTGGTTGATGGTTATCTTGCAATAGGAGGTTAATTTGACGAAAAAGAAGGTAAAAATTATGAAAACGAAGAATAAATTGTGGTACCTGGCGCATGATTAATGTTAACATTGTCTTGTTGTGTAAAATTATAGAGTATTATTGTTGAAATTAAGTAATAGAGATAAAGTTACGAAACTCTTATTGCAAAATCTAACAGCGTGGATTTCTTCTTGATCTGATGGCAGCTAAAATCCTGCAGGATATCCTTGATAATATATCCTTATCCATGGCACTGATATCCTTGATAATATACAGAATATTTTAAAAATATGACCGATGTTCAATTAGGGTAAATACGATTAAGCATAATTTACTTTATTATTACCTTTTTAAAACCAACGATTACATTATTTGTGGATGGAGTGTCACAAATGCTGTGACAAATAACAATTTGTAGCATTGAAAAAAATTGGAAGCGCTTATTCTCAAAGAAGCGTTTGCACTGATGTGTCAATTTTTTAATTCTGACCTTTTATTTTTTTTTTGCAAAATACGCGTAAATGAATTCTAAATAGTAACATGAATTGTTACAAATTGAATAATTATTTTTTTGATCAAATTACTCGTGAATGAATTCTAAATTATAGCATGCTAAGATTTATGAATCACAAGGTTGTCCTTATCTTCGTGTTTCACAATAGCATGAGATCTTCCGTACATGAGGTCATACACGAAGATTTTCATTTCGAGAAAGAAGATTAAAACAGGGTGGCCCAGTGGTTAAAGTTCAGAGTACCAGGATTGGAGCAGAGAGGCGCGGGTTCGATCCCAGCTCTGTGCGCCAGTTTCTGGTCAGAATCGGCGAGGAGGCCGGGCGGTTAAGCACAGCAGAATTGAAGCAGTGAGCTGCGAGTTCGAGACCGCAAGAAGCTGTGGATGTTCTGCGATGTTAAGAATCGGCGACAGGCCTACGGCCTACTAACGCTGAAACCGCTATTATATTATTATTATAAAACATCATTCATTTGTCAATATGTATTCCCATTGGGCATTTCTCTAATTAAATTTGAGACATAGTATTTATGTCACTGACAAGTTCTTTTAGCAGCCTATGTCATTAGCTCAAAACTTTAATTAACTTACCATCATGTGATTTCTTAATCAAAAGACCTTCCATCTAATCAAGGGACAGCTTGACAGGGGCACTCAATGTTTCATTTTATGTGACGAGACATGCGTGGTTACGCAACGGAACGAGTCAACATTTTTGACATGATTAGTATCAGCGACGTTCTTATTTTCGAAATCAGTTGTCTATATAACGGGGTCTCCCACATGAGAGCTTTGCATTTCTGCTCAGCATCTCCTCGAGGCTCCAATAGATCACAGAGGAAATTAAAAATTAGGCAAACTTAATGAAGATAACCGTAAGTAGCGACTTCTGCCGCCAGGCAGAAGTATATAAAGTATAGCGACTTTCCAAGACTTCATGCATGTGCGTTGCCTTTTAAACATTCATTTAATCACGTCATTCGTTTAATCACCTCATTCATTTAATAACGTTTATGCAGATATACGTTCAATATTTTTCAGTAAATTTAAGTTTTCCGTAGAATATATTTAGACATAATCTTTAAATAAGTAAATTCAATTAATTTCAGACTAACGAACTCGTGGCTCATAATCACTCATTTTTGTTGTAAAATCAGAGAATTTGTACGCCTACCTGGAACGTAAAGAATGATTTAGCACATTTCATTTGATTGATATAATTGGTATGTAGAAATAAATGGAAAATCAACTTTTCCCGCAGGTAATGGGTCGAGCGATGATGTTAACATTGGTGGTGGTGATGGGTGTGGTGAGCACATCGGCTCTGGATTGCATCCAGTGTATGAATTGCAATGGCAACGAAACCGCCACCGAGTGCAGCGAGAAAGCTTACGACGCATGTATAGTAAGAACAAAACTCCTGCATAGTGAGAAAAAAACTCTGGACAGATTCCTATTTATACAGGCTTGACGTCACACACTTGATTTATCACTTTTGTTCTTCGGCCCAATAACTAGACTGAGTTACTCGCATCTTTTTAAAACTTAATGATTCCCGGACAAACCACGAGCCATGTAATCATAACAAAAACAAAAATTTCGGCATATTCAAAATCTCAGTCACCAAAGTAATCTAGCAGAAGATGCAATTTTAATCTGACGAACAAATTAATTAATTTAGATTCTTCGATCTCATTTTTCAGTTCTCCGTGAGAGCTTTGGGGAAATTTAGTTTAATCTTTTATCATAATAATTCGATTAATGGATAGCATCTATGCAATTTCTTCAGCTTCCAATAATATAAAGCAGGTCATTATTTCATTATTTGGATCATTTCCCATTTTGACCCATGATTGCTGAATGTTTTACCTTCGATTACAACTTAGCAGTGACAACGAACTAGTGAGACAGTTCATTTGACAATATAATCATTAAAAAGTTAGCGAAATATTAATAATTGAGGGACTCGATGCATTGAATCTATAGTATACCTTGAGGGCTCAGTTGTTTGAGAATATTTTTGTCATCGCTTTGTTTATAACGAAGTCAATTTATTGTATACTTTTAAAGATGGATCAAATTAATTGCATATGGTTGACTTAAAGTTACAATAATCACGAGAAAATAGAATAAAATAAATATGATGCATTATTTTCCGACAGTCGTTAACAAGTAGTGAAACTGTGGTGAAGGGATGCACCCTGAAAGCTGCATGCAAAGCAGGCTGTGCGACGGAGATCCTGAGGACACTTCATCTTGTTGACCAAGAACAATTTCCAGGTTGAGTTATGGACAATGTATTTTTTGTTGACGGCCATGGGTAAGAGGTTGACAAAGTTGTAAAAGCTTAGGTGAATAAAATTATTTTTTCTGTTTTCCAGGCAAGACTATTCGATAATTTTGCCCTTTTTCCCATAAAGTTGGGAAGTTCAAAGTCATTTTATTTTGGGGTCTCGAAATTATTGCATTAATCGAAGCTAAATTCTTAAAATCTACACCCTCTATTTTTCTGATTGTAAACGCTTTCGAGAACATACTGGGTAAAGTTATGAAGATGTAAATGTTCAGACTTGAAATGTTCATCGCCCCGCGGAGCTGGTATAAGTAACCGGAGCTAATCGTTTTTACGCCAGTTTTGATGAGATCTGGTCAAAATGCCAGTGTTTAAATATCCTGTAGCACGAATCGGCGACATGCCAAACTTGACCAAGTTTTCTGCGCCGGCTCTACTAAGCTATCTTATACTAAAATGAGTCCAAAATAATTACACTGACTTTAATATTCATCCAGCTTATACACTTTCAGGTCGAAAGATAATTTCTCAAACTGGTTGCTTACATTCAATGCGCAGCGTTTTAATGATGTACCTCCTACTTTAATCTTAGATGCAAAATAACACCAGATTCTTTACGCATCAAACACTGATGCCCGTGCGGTTTACTTCTCACAGACTCAAGCACTATCAGCTGCTGCAGCGGCGACGCGTGCAACGGCGCGGGGCTCGCCGCCCCCGCGGGGCTGCTGCTGCTGCTCACGCCGCTCATCGCTGGCGTCCTGTCGGGATAGAAGATTTTTTCAATATTTCAATAGAGTCATTATTTCATTTAGAGCCATTATTTAATGACTCTATTGAAATAATGACAATAAATAATTCTATTTAATGATGCACTTCAACCGATTCATTATTTCAGCAACGCTGATCCCCTTTTGAATTATTGACATTGAGTTTATCATCATTCATATGAATTTTAAGGTCTTTCAAATGATAGAAATTTTATGTCAGTTTTGTGTTTGATGTAATTCTGGGACTAATTAATAAATTTCGTATGGAAATAGGCCTTCCTTCCAAATTTACCAGATTAATTATTGTTCATCTATTTGTTAGTAAGTTCAGATATGTATGTTGATTCTAGTGTATTTATTAATGAATTATTTTTCGTCACAACTCTAACTCGAGCTATGAGCTATTTAAAAACTATGTTACTACAATAATTTGGCAATAAATTTCATCTGGAACATATTTTAATATCAAATTTTGCAGATAAGTTCTTGTTCATCTATGTCTTAGTAATTTCAGAAATGTGTATTGATTCAAGTGTATTTATTAATCGATTATTCTTCTTTACAACTCTCTTACTTGAAATATGAGTGATTTATAAACTATGTAATCCCCATATGTAATCGTAATTATTTATTTGGAACATTTTAACGATTAATGTTTGGGTGTGTTTTTTCCTAATCAGGCTGCAAATTACGCAGCTTAACGTCCACATGGGTGACACCATGTCATAAAAAACTTGATTCAAATAATTTACCTTTCCTTTATTTCACCAACCAAGTGTCAGAACAAATATTCAAGCACTTGTCCTTCGAGGATTACGTGAAATTGCGTAATCCTGTCATGAGGTGGAACTTGATCAACAGAAAATTCATTTCCATATTAATAATAGCAAAAATGGGGAACTTTGGGTTCCGTGAATTAAATACTGCAAAAACCAATAAAAATTTTCATAAGGTTGTCGTTGTATCATCAGGACTGACATTAAAGTTCAAAATTTGAAGTAAAATACATTTAGATAAAATCTTCATTTATAAAATGTCGCATCCTCACCGCTACACAGTTTTCCTTGCATTTGAATATTGCATTATCCGTTAATCAGAGCAATGTAAATTGTAATTGTAGGTGCTTGTATACGGGGACAGTATATAGCGGTAAGTGCAACTTACAAGTAGTGACCGTCATTATTTACCTTGTGATTGGGCTCGTTTAAATGGACCAATAACCTCGGAATTAGTAACACGAACCCAGTAGCATGAAAATTAGCATGAGAGCTGTTTTAAAAGTCATACTGGGCACTGGCCGCCACAACTGTTCTCGTGCACAAACATCTTTACAAAAGGTCTTTGCAACATATGTCAGAGGGAAGACTCGGCAAAGTAAGGTCACATTTGCTGCGTAATGCAATTTCAAAGCTTATCTTGACTATACCATCTTTTGACTTATGCCTAGGTAGCACGAATCATAAAAATTTGTATAGCTTTCGTAATGATTTCAATTTTCCTAACAACCATTACAACCAGGGGCTAAGAGTAGAACTGTGCTATGTCTTTGAACGCGTTGCAGGCGTCGTAGAGGTTATTTATACTTGATCACTTACTTATCTTCGCTCTCACTATTTTATCACACGGCAGACAGCTAATGCAGTAATGACGCCGTCCATATAGGCTCCTCATCACATTCAACTGAAAATGTGAAAACAAATGTTGATTTGGCAGGAGAGAATCAGGCGGAAAGGCAAGGAAAATCAGGTCAATCACTTCCAAGCTGCCAAGACAACACCGGCTGCTCAAGGACAGTCAGAGGAGATGGAGGACAAGTAATTAGTAGGAATGATGTCCGTAGATTAAGGCCTGTAAATAATGTAGGGAGTAACCGCATACATCAAAGTGAAAGTGCACAAAAAGATTTAAAATGTTTTTACACGAACTCGGATTCCGTTTTGAACAAAAAAAGTGAACTGTTAACTGCTGTCTCTTATACACATCTAGATGTGTATAAGAGACAGGGCCTACACTTCAGAGCCGACATCACTATGTTATGTTATGTTAAATGACACGAGTTTAGATCTATGAACAAGGCACGAAATGGAAAAGAATCGGCAACAGGCCACATCAGGCCTACACTTCAGAGCCGACATCACTATGTTATGTTATGTTATGTTAAAACATCCCTCTTATTTCGATTTAGCGATAATCCATGATGTCGCGGACTCGATTAGTTACTGTAATAGTTGTAGTAATTTAGCCGCCTTACGATAGCCCCAATTCCATAGAGGACCAAGAAAGGCGATACTTCAGTGAACATTCACTTCATAAAGCCACCGTAAAATTCTGCACATTCAGAATTTAATTTGAAATAGTCTAAATACAAATGAAATCAGATACTAAATTTATTATTCAGAAAGTTCAGAGGGACTTGGTTCACTATTTCTGCTCCAAAGAAAAATCAATTGTAAAAGGAATTTAAAACATCTTTTAGCACAACTTGAATCAAAAAAGCGTGTGCATTCCACAGCTTAGTTCAATAATTCTGGAGTTCAAAAGTGGTCTTTGAAAGCCTACACATAAGGACATATAAGACAAATTCGTGACACTGATCAAAGTGAGCTTCTCAATGCTAATATCAGCAGAATAAGGCGAAAATCTAAGGCACAATAGGTGGTAATATCGTGATAACTATCAACTTAGGCTCATTCAAGATCATATGCCCTAAAGACATAAATCAGTTGTGAAATGTGTTACTAATGCTCGTAATCTCGAGTGCTATACTGGCCTTCGATCGGCTTGAGCAAGAAACTGGCCTCCTGTTAATGTTATCACATATAGACATGAAATTACACCCTGGTCAAACATTGATTACTCACGTTATTCTGACGACTCAGAAAATGCAATAAGAACTGAATTATATTTTGTTAATCAATCTATACCTGCGTAAAGAAAAATGGGTTATCATACAAAGTATAAAAGCAGCGAGACAATCGATTTAGAAAAAAATTCTGCTTCACTGTTAAAATCCTGACATCACCTCCACTGAATGATTATTTTACTAAAATTAAATCATTCTGGCTATTCAGACTCGATCTATCCAACTAATACTTATTGAATTTAATATACTACACATTATTCGCTTTATTGGCACCTGAGCACTTGAATGATATAATCAAGGAGATTCAAACTCCTCTTAGAGAAACAAATCAGTCACGAGTATTAAAATGAGATAGATAATATAGATAAGCAACTAAATAATGAAGTCGACAGAATAATCCATAGTAGTGCTTTAAATGGAGTACCCAACCTAAGTCGATTTTTCACACCTGACTTGTGGCAGGCTCATAAAGAGCTTTGGATTCACATTGCAAATGGCATTCCCAGTCACCCACAAGTTTTCTAATTTAACAAGAAACAAGGCTAGCTAACCTCAACAAAATGTTCTCCACTCATTGCATTAACCACAAAGATTTCATGAATAATTTTTTAATTATACGCCAATTAAACACATTTTTATACAGAAATATGGAAGTATAAAATAGCTAGAATGTCTCCAGCAATAAGATGCGTCCAATTTTTAAATCGGAGAGTCGCTGTTGCTCTCAACTCCCCGGCAAATCCTTTGAGTGAAGGTGGTGTTGGTCAGTCAGACCCCACGAATATCTCTATTATATGGAAACATTAGTGATATAAGAACCATATTTTATTATTAAATTAACTCCAGGCTTTCCATCCTGATAAAAATGTACCAATTGTCTGGTTGTTCATGATCATCGGTCATATTAGTCAGAGTGCTTTCAGTGATAAAATATTAAAATTAATACACTCATTCGAATTAAATCAAGCTGTTTCTTTATTTCTCATGGGCGATGTGCTGTCGCGTCACTTAGGGGGGCTTCAGTTCTCTAAAATATTCGTTAGCCACTTTAAAAAAAATTCATATTCATTTGTTATAATTTTTTTAATCATTTATTTTTTTGCGGGATATGCAGACAAATTCAATATATTGTAGCCTGAACATAGTTTATATAAATACCTAAACAAACAGTCATTACTAACTTAAATGCGACCTTTAATATCGAACATCGTTGATCTAATAATGAATCTTATCCTGTGCTCGGACGTATTCTGTTCGTGCAATGAGTTGTGTATCAAGCGTATAATCTGGGCCCAATTGCTGCACCATGCATTGTGCTGATGCCACTTTTAAGTGAATGATCTAGCTT